CTCCGTCATCGCTGGAGCGTTACCTGTCTACATGTGTTTGTGTTGCGTGACTAGATTTCAACGCCGACAGTCACTGTGCTGTTGATTTCTTTATATGTTGTTCACATGTGTATAAAAAGATGCCTACTTAAACTCCATGCAAGTGTAGGCATGAATATTACGTGTTACTCGTTACGCAATTGGATTTTTGACACTGACAGTCCCTGTGCAGTCGATTGTCTTTCAATATGGTATACATGTGTTACACTAGACACTATTGGGATCAACGCTGACAGTTCCTGTGCTGTTGATGTTGGTACGTTCGCCACTCTTATTTTCACCTGTCCATCCTGATCCTCCTATTCTCCTGGTTCCTGCTGTTAGTTTGTCTACTCAACTGTTCGTCCTGGTCTCCTCAGCTGTCACTGCCCTACCCTGTTTTTGTACTGTCTAAACCTGGTCATATGTATGCCTGAACTCTGTTACTTTGTTTGTGTTACCACCATTAAACCACCTTTTTCCACTAGCACCTGGGTCTGCAAACTTGAGTCCTACCTCAGTTCACCTTCATCCTCCTGGTGAGGGGGACTCAACCATAACACGCATGCTCATTTCCACTTGCTTAAGAAATCATCTAAAACTAGAAAATTGCATTTCTGAAAAAAAAATGCGTATGGACGCTGTGTGTTGAAAGATCGCCCTGAAAATGCTGAACATTTTGACACCTGAATAGTTTTGCTAGTTGAAAGTATGCTGAAGTAGACTTTTCCCATTTGTTTGAATGGGGCAAAATTTTCAGAATAAAGCTGAATAGTTTAAAAGTATGAAGTTTAGGAAAACTCTGAATAAATCCGTGCGTGTCCTGAAAAAGCTGAACATTTTGATACCTGAATGGTTTTTTTAGATTAAAGTATGCTGAAGTAGTTAAGGGCCAAAAAAACGTACAGAAGAATAATAATAATAACTAGAAAATTGTATTTTCTGAAGAAAATGCGTATGGATGCTGAGTGCTGAAAGATCGCCTTGAAAATGCTGAAAATTTTGACACCTGAATGCTTTCGCTAACTGAAAGTATGCTGAAGTTGGAATTTCCCATTCACTTTAATGGGGCAAGATTTTCAGAATAAAAATATTTTAAAAAGTATGAAGTTTTGAAAAGTTCTCAAGAGAAGCATGAATGTCCTTGAGGAGCTGAACATTTTAATAGCTGAAATAGCTGAAAGTATGCATAAATAAAAATTTCCTCATTCATTTGAATGGGGCAAAATTTTCAAAATAAAGCTAAATGTGTCAACAGTATGAAACTTACAAAAATTCTGAATAGAAGCATGAATGTCCTTAAAGAGCTGAACATTTTGATACCTGAAATTATGCTGAAGTTGAATTTTCCCATTCATTTGAATGAGGCAAGATTTTCAAAATAAGGCTAAATATTTCAAAAGTATAAAGTTTACAAAAGTTCTGAAGAGAAGCATGAATGTCCTTGAAGAGCTGAACATTTTGAAGCACAGTGACGGAACCCAGAATAATAATAACTAGAAAATTGCATTTTCTGAAGAAAATGTGTATGGATGCTGAGTGCTGAAAGATCGCCCTGAAAATGCTGAACATTTTGACACCTGAATTGTTTTGCTAGCTGAAAGTATGCTTAAGTAAAATTTTCCTATTCATTTGAATGGGGCAAGATTTTCAAAATAGAGCTAAATATTTCAAAAGTATTTAGCTTCAACAAATTCTGAACAGAACCATCAATGTCCTTGAACAGCTGAACATTTTGATACCTGAAATAGCTGAAATTATGCTGAATTAGATTTTTACCATTCATTTGAATGGAGCAAGATTTTCAAAATAAAGCTAAATATTTCAAAAGTATTTAGCTTCAACAAATTCTGAACAGAACCATCAATGTCCTTGAACAGCTGAACATTTTGATACCTGAAATAGCTGAAATTATGCTGAATTAGATTTTTACCATTCATTTGAATGGAGCAAGATTTTCAAAATAAAGCTAAATATTTCAAAAGTATGAAGTTTAGAAAACCTCTGAAGAGAAGCATGAATGTCCAAGAAGAGCTGAACATAGCTGAAATTATGCTGAAGATGAACTTTCCCATTCATTTGAATGGGGCAAGATTTTCAAAATAAAGATAAATATTTCAAGAGTATGAACTTTAGAAAAATTCTGAAGAGAAGCATGAATGTTCTTGAAGAGCTGAGCATTTTGATAGCTAAAAGTATGCTTAAGTTGAATCTTGCCCCATTCAAAACAATGGAAAAATTCTACTTCAGCATAATTTCAGCTATCAAAATGTTCAGCTCTTCAAGGACATTCATGCTTCTCTTCAGAATTTTTCTAGACTTCATACTCTTGAAATATTTTGCTTTATTTTGAAAATCGTATCCCATTCAAATGAAAGCGGAAATTTCTACTTCAGCATATTTTCAGCATAATTTCAGCTATTAAAATGTTCAGCTCTTTAAGTGCATTCATGGGTGGCTATGGCTCACGAGGTAGGGCAGTCGTCTCCTGACCAGTAAGTTGGTGGTTCGACTCCCAGTCTCCCCCGCATGCCTAAGTGTCCCTGAGCAAGACACTGAACCCCGAATTGCTCCCGGTGGCTTGACTAGTGCTGGTGCGTGGCAGCCTGTCGTCATCGGTGTGTGAATGGATGAATGGTGTATGATCTTCTGTAAAGCGCTTTGGCCAGTGCAACACACTGTGAGGAAGCGCTATATAAAATACAGTCCATTTATATTCTGAACTTTTGTAAATTTCATACTTTATATTTAGTTTTATTTTGAAAATCATGCTCCATTCAAAATCAATGGGAAAATTCAACGTCAGCATAAATTCAGCGATCAAAATGTTTGGGTTTTCAAAGGCATTCATGTTTCTATTCAGAACTTTTCTAAACTTCATATTTTAAAAATATTTAGTTTTATTTTGAAAATCATGCTCCATTCAAAATCAATGGGAAAATTCAACGTCAGCATAGATTCAGCGATCAAAATGTTTGGGTTTTCAAAGGCATTCATGTTTCTATTCAGAACTTTTCTAAACTTCATATTTTAAAAATATTTAGTTTTATTTTGAAAATCATGCTCCATTCAAAATCAATGGGAAAATTCAACGTCAGCATAGATTCAGCGATCAAAATGTTTGGGTTTTCAAAGGCATTCATGTTTCTATTCAGAACTTTTCTAAACTTCATATTTTAAAAATATTTAGTTTTATTTTGAAAATCATGCTCCATTCAAAATCAATGGGAAAATTCAACGTCAGCATAGATTCAGCGATCAAAATGTTTGGGTTTTCAAAGGCATTCATGTTTCTATTCAGAACTTTTCTAAACTTCATATTTTAAAAATATTTAGTTTTATTTTGAAAATCATGCTCCATTCAAAATCAATGGGAAAATTCAACGTCAGCATAGATTCAGCGATCAAAATGTTTGGGTTTTCAAAGGCATTCATGTTTCTATTCAGAACTTTTCTAAACTTCATATTTTAAAAATATTTAGTTTTATTTTGAAAATCATGCTCCATTCAAAATCAATGGGAAAATTCAACGTCAGCATAGATTCAGCGATCAAAATGTTTGGGTTTTCAAAGGCATTCATGTTTCTATTCAGAACTTTTCTAAACTTCATATTTTAAAAATATTTAGTTTTATTTTGAAAATCATGCTCCATTCAAAATCAATGGGAAAATTCAACGTCAGCATAGATTCAGCGATCAAAATGTTTGGGTTTTCAAAGGCATTCATGTTTCTATTCAGAACTTTTCTAAACTTCATATTTTAAAAATATTTAGTTTTATTTTGAAAATCATGCTCCATTCAAAATCAATGGGAAAATTCAACGTCAGCATAGATTCAGCGATCAAAATGTTTGGGTTTTCAAAGGCATTCATGTTTCTATTCAGAACTTTTCTAAACTTCATATTTTAAAAATATTTAGTTTTATTTTGAAAATCTTGCTCCATTCAAATGAATGGGGAAATTTTTACTTATGCATACTTTCAGCTATTTCATCTATTAAAATGTCCAGTTCTTCAAGCACATTCATGCTACTCTTCAGAAGTTTTCTAAACTTCAAATTTTTAAAATTTAGCTTTATTTTGAAAATCTTGCCCCATTCAAACGAATGGGAAAATTCTACTTCAGCATACTTTCAGCTATTTCAGGTATTAAAATGTTGAAAGAGAGGAGTTATGTATGGGCATGTCCCAATTGCGCTGCATTTTATGAACCACCAGATGGCACTCCAAGACTGTGTCATTGACTCAGCACTTTGAGCTCCCATTGACTTGTATTGCAAAAAAAAGCTGAATAGATTAAAAAGTATAAATGTTATAAAAAAAAAAGTTGAGTACAAGCAGGGATGTCCTTGAAGAGTTGAACAGATCAAGACCGCAATGGCCTGTATAGCTGAAAGTATGCTGGACTTATAAAGTGCCAAAAAAAAGGGTGGAAGATCCCAGAACAATAATAAATAAAAGAACAGGAAAGCATCCACACAAATAATTGGATAACATAGTATGGATGCTGAATCAGCATCCATACAATAATTGGAAAACATAGTATGGATGCTGAATCAGGATGCTTCCAACAATAAATAATTGGATAACATAGTATGGATGCTTGTCAGCATCCACACAATAACGACCAGGATAACATAGTATGGATGCTGCAAAAACAGATAACATAGTATGGATGCTGAATCAGCATCCATACAATGAAAGGCCTTCTTTTTTGTTCACAAAGCAGGTTAAAACAGATTGTTTTCCCCCCAGGAATCACATTCTACAGCTAATGATATTAACTGAAATACCAATGGGCTAACACTTATTTTCTCATGGAACCTAATGTTCAGCTGGTGTTTGTACATGGAAAAGACTTTAGTGGAGAAATATTACACTATTTGCGATCCTCAAGGACATTATATATGCTCAATAATCAATAACAACACACAGTACTAAAAATGAAAACACATCTAGACATTACTGAAAATTGTATTTATTAGTGGTTACCTAAATATCCAGAAGCACTGAAGCACTAATTGTTATCAAAGGTGGTTTTAATATTCCTGGTGAAAATTCTCTTGAATAAATGGCCTTCACCTTCCTCTGTTAGTACTAATCTAAAACTATCAATGCAACGTTTAGATCCTATTGATTTGTGACAGGATACATTTTCATACTAAAACGTGCACTTGGCACAACAGATGTGGAGATTGTCAATCCCACACTAATCACTAGACTGTTTAACCCCCCACCCCCACCCCAAACAAACAATTACGGTAAACATTTCAGCTACTCTGCTTACAGATCATAGGGCAATTTATATTAAAATGCATTTTCCTCCAATTCAAAAATCTTTAACATAGAAACTCCGTAACTTGCATCTAACCCATAAGTCAAAGGCTGCTTATTGAAATTGGAAAAAAAAGAAGAAAAAAGACAAGGAAATGCTGTGATGAAACTATAAAATGCAGTAGACACAATTTGTTCAAGAAAGCCTCTAAAGAACTAAGTGAAAAATGTATACAAATACCCTTAGTTAACGTAGCATGTGGACAGAGCAACCTGGTGCTTCACCCCTCAGTTCATGAAGAACTGTATGAAGGACCACGTGTAAATTGACCTGGAGTGGGGAAAGCTGCATCTGTTATTAAAGTTCAACCTGCTGTGGTCTTTTTAAGGTCACAAGCATGACACAATTGGCTCTGCCAAGCTTACAAAATGGCATGCATTGTTGTGCCATCATTTATACTGCATGAAATTTAGTAGGGTGACAGATCAAAAGTTTCAGAACAGGTTAAATAAAATCTGTGTTGACTGACTCATTATTATGAGGCTCTACTTTAACATTCTGACTAGGCATAAGTAAAAATTTGAATTTTTCTTATGCTTTCCAAATTTCATTCTGGCCTGGTGAAGGGGACCGATTGACCATTATGGTCATTTACTAACTGAAACTAGTTATGATTTTACAGTCCAAAAACTGTCTAGGCCCTAAGTTAATAAAGTTTAAGTTATTAATTCATATAGTGCAGGCTAGAAATATGTAGTGTGTGCTGGACAGCTGAGACACACTGACAGCTGTGGTATAACAGCCATGCATGCATAGACACAAGCATCAGACCATCATTTTTCTAAGAGTGGCTCCATATTTTCAGGCCTTATAACCATACATTATCTTTGGAACAACAGATAAAAACATGAAATAAATACTACATAGCACATTAAAAAGGATGTACATTAATGTGATACACGTATACCATGATGGGTGAGTATTGTAAAAGCAGACATTTCAGTCTACCACAGAAATGAGTGTGCACCTCTGTGCAAAACGATATTCAAAACTGTATCACCTCTTAATAACTGCAATATTTCTACGTTGACAAGTAGAGTCTTTTCTATTATGATCAATCAAAAACAAATACTTGGGAAAGACAGGCCCCAAAGTCAAAACTCAATGCAACAAAAGTGAAAACACCTGTAATCACTGACACACAAGCTAAACAACCTGTGATCATTGAAACAAAGTGGAGTACACCAGTATACACCTAATTACATGAACATATTTATAAATGGACCTGTGAAAACCAGAGCGTTCTCCGTTTTGGGCTGTGTCTCTCTGCATGTCCACATCATGGCTCCACTTAGCAGAGAAGCTGAAAAATCAGACTGTGAGACTTCACAAAGATGGAAAAGGCCATAGGAAGATCAGCCAATCAACTAAAAGTCAGTCTAAACACAGCTGCAGCAGTGATCAGGAGGCATGGAATGAGTCAGAGTACCACTAATCAGAGCTGCCATGGCTGTCCTAAAATGATGCCACAGACAGTGCATTGCGTTTCTGTGACAGCTCAGACAACGACCTCCATGGACAGCATCCAAGAATAAAATACCTGCTTGCTCTTTAGCACTGAAGGATTTTTTTATTTTTCTGAAGAAAATGAAAAGAACCCTGGTGAATATTGGGGCCACATTCTATGGTCAGATGAGACCAAATGCGTTGGACTCAGAGGGGGCTGAACCTGGCCAGGTTTATGACTACTATGGCAGAGTAGCATAGTCCCCACAGTAAAGTACAGAGGTGGCAGTGGGCTGATATGGGGCTGCATAAGTGCAAAAGGTGTCGGGGGGCTGTTTGTAACATGAAACAGTATGGATATACCAAAATACTGGGTGACAAGATGACCCCCAGTCTCCAAAAGACTCCAGAAGGAGTATTCCAGCATGATAATGATCCAAAGCACACTGCCAAAGTCACACAAGAGTTGATAAAAGAGGAAAAAAGTGAAAACTATATCACCTTGGTGGAATCCAATAACATACCTTTGGAGCATTTTAAAGATACAACACAACCCCTCCAGCAAACAGCAGCTGAAACAAACTGTCCCTGAAGAATGGCAGAACACCTTTACGTGCATTTGTATCCCTCATGCCAAGGAGGACTGAGTCTGTCAACAAAAATAAAGGTGAACATGCAAAGCACTGGAAAATAACAAGAACTGAATCTTGGTAATAACAGGTATAATGATTTTTGTTGCATTGGTTTCCGACTGTAGAGCCTGTATTTTTAAAAGAGTAAATCTAAACTGTCAGTTTTTAATTTTACATAAGAGCAAATACGTGACACTTCAAATTAACGTAAGGTGACACTGTTTTTAAACAGTAAACTTATTTCTGTTGTATTCTGTATATGACCGTTTCTCTGTTTGCCTTTAACAAAATCTAACATTAGGTCACATTGGTAATATAATCCAGCCACCGATTAAAGGTCAGCTGTGTTAAAACACGGTAAACTGTTTCCATTAAAGTCATACAAGAGATACTATAATAACAGTTCCACCCTCTTAAAGTATGTGCCATGGTTTAGAATAGATTTGGCCTCATTCACACAAACATAAAATCTCAAGTAAATGTTTAGAACTGTTGGCCTGCATCACATGAAATTAAATTATGCTCCCCTGTCCCTTAAATATGAGTGCAGCCACTAAACTGTAAAAGTGAAAATAGTTTGACTCGGAGCAACAAAGATGGTTGGCACTGTTGACAGTGTTCTGCAGTCGATAACAGTCTGGTAGTTTCAGTGGTGGTATGTGTTACGCTGCTTCTAGCCATCCAGAGGTTTTCCCAGGTACACCATGGTGACTTCAGTGTTGCCATACACTGCAGAGACGGCAGGGAACAGGCAGGCTTTGGGCAGTCCACGAAATGCTACTCCAAGAAACTCAAAACCTCTCTCAAAAGCTAACGTCTTGTCATCCATGTCTAGAATCACCCGTATTCTCTCCCCGATCTGTGGACAAACATGACTGCATGTTACTGTTGAATTACAAAAAATGTTAAAGACCAACAAAATGTAAAACTGCAAACACATATCCAAAAGGAATGCAGGTTTTATTATGGCCAATCAGTGCAAACATTTAAACATTACTTTAACATCATTTATCTGACATGGCACCAACTCCCACCTGATATTTGGGTGCATTATTACACTGAGGGAAATTTCCGTTAACTTCCCCATTATGTAGCAGGTTATTGTCTACCAGGTTCCAGCCCCAGCTTTGGTCATCACTGCCCAGCAAGGCCACGTAACCCTGGCACTGCATCGCTGCCCGCTTCGTGGCGATGCCTATTACTGCCACAGTGCCAAGAGGGCCTTCCCACCAGATCTCCCAGGCGTGCCGCCCTTCCGAAAAGCCAATCTTGCCACGTGCACCATCCGTGCTCTGGGCAATGGGGTTGCGGTGCAGAGTGAAGCCATTCTTCTTTACATAAACATTGCGGGAGCAGTCATGGGAGCTCAGAGCATGTTGAAAGGCCATGAGCTGGATTGAACAGGAAAAAGATCAGTTATTTTACAACAGCTATGGTTACAGGAAATTTATTATGTTTACTGATAAGTTATAAAGAATTGGAAAACATCTGCAAACAACTGGTTTCAGATTCTTGTAAGAATAAGATGAGAAATGGTCATGGCTTGTGGCCATTCCAAAAAGTGGCCCCTTGGGACAAAGCACACAGACAAGTCAAAGCACAAACATTATGGAAATGCACTGCAACTTTGAAAACACATACAAACATCAAAGCACATGCAAAATATAAAATGCTTCAAATAAAAAAGAAATGCATACAACACAGTCCATGGAAAAAGAAACACTGCAAAAAAGTTAAAGCACAAACATTACAAAAACACACTTCAAATCTGAAAATGCCTGTAAAAGTGAAATCCTATGCAAAAAGAATAATGCATGGAAACATGCTGCAAATCCAATACCACCACAGCAGAAGTACTGTGGGACGCCAGGGAGAGTGATGGGCTTGATATGGATGGGCAGCCGGAATGTAGAGACTGGACTTCTGGGGTTTAATGCTTCCAAAATCACTCACTGCACTGTTTAATGTGGTGTCGCGGAGTGTTAATCTACCTACTGAACAGTGCACTCGCAAATTCCACAATTTAACAATGTCTGTAGCATGTACACTACTTTCTGCTAATAATCTCACAATACCTGTCCAAAGAAGGTAAAGGTAACAGTTACATGATCATTCTAACTTCAGTCATAAATAAACCTATACAGATACAGCCATCTTTAAGTGCTGGCTGGTGTGTGATGGAACCGTGCTCGATCTGGTTTTCACCCCCACTTGGTACTTGCTGTATATAACCACCAGGTAAAGCCATGATTGTTTTAGTTTACTGCAGAGGCAGGCCGATCATTTTAACCTTCTGTCAAAGTCCAGAATCACTGGCGGACCAAATACAATAAGGGCAGCTGGCGCTGAGTTGAGTTAGTTAAGTTCCAGCAACTACTGAAAGTCTGAGAAGCATATTGTTGATTCTATGGTCTAGTGGTTCTCAAACATTTTCTGTCATTCCCCACTTAAGAGGGTGGGCAAATTTTCAAGCCCCACTTGTCAACAAAATGATAAAGAAATGGGCCAATTTTAAAACATCAAATTTATTGAAATATCAAATAACACTAAGTTCAAAACAGATAAAATATAAGTTCGTGTTATAACTTAGCCTTGTCTTGCAACTGTATCGTTTGACAGGGGGATAGTTTTCAATTTTGCAGCACTTGTCTCATCCAGCATAATCGACACCATGTCTACAGCAGCGGGGAGAATGAGCTGCTTAGCAATTGTGTGTGGTTTTTTGCTCTGGGCAATTCTGTATCCAACTTTGAATGAAGCCGTTTGTCCTTTACTGTCCACTGATGCAGATTTTACCATGCGATTTTCCTGCTGGTGGTATTCTGCCAGCCGAGTGGCTTATTAACGTGACTGGGGTGTGTTGTCTTTAAATGTCTTCTTAATTTGTTGGGTCTCATGCTGTCTGCTGCCAGCGGTTTAAGGCACAAGACACACATGGGTCTCTCCTCTGCCCCCACCATTCCCACCGTGAATCCAAGCGCAAGATAGGCTCCATCACATTTTCTTTTCAGCTGGCTTTTTGGTTGATAAGGCTTACTGCCTGTCGTTTTTTTGTCTGCTTGTGCTGAATCACCTGCTTTTTTTGTGGTCCATGCAACAAATTTATCCATTTACGTTATTGTGCCTACTACATACACTATTGGCCCTCTGTGTGACTGTTTCCTTATTTTGTTACACTGCAGTTAAAATGCCGATGGTAAACTGTTATTGTTGCACTATGGTTCCACTTTTTTCTCCCGGGCCCCGAACTGATGTTATTTCAATTAACTTGTATTAATGACCCATTTCTAATTTTCTCCATTCATTGCGGCCCACCTGTCATGTCTTTATTCCCCACTAGTGGGGCGCGCCCCACACTTTGAGAACCATGGGTCTAGACAAAGACACAGAGACTCTGCAGTGTGAAAATAGTATTTAAGCATCCACACATTAGATGCAAGCGGTACACCCAATACATCATAACCTCCCGGGATGAGGTGGACTGCCCCGCTTTGTTTTTCCACCGTATTTTCTCTGTGTGGGTCTCTGTTTGGTAGAAGCAGCAATCTGGAGGACTTGGACTGTTATTTTGCATTCATGAGCTAAAGATGTATTTACTGTACAAGGTAAATCTTTTGTAAATAAAAATTGTCTAAAACCTTTATGGTCATAATTTTTGTAGTAGAAACACTGCTTTATTATTAAGTACTTGTATTGTAGGTCTACTCAGTATAGGCAAGTACCCAAATGTAAGTACTTGTACATGGTCAGAAAAAAATGGTATCGGCGCATCCCTAACTAAGCAGTTTTTTCTTTAAATCTGATACAAGGAGCTAATACGATGCTTACAATAAACCCATCCTTCAATTTTGCACTCTCTGGTTACATTATACCAGAGACACAGGAATTAAAATATGTGTGTTGATGGGGGCAGAAGATGGATGGTTTTAAATCACAATACCAGCTCAACGCTGTGGTGTCTGTCAGTCTTCAGTGATCATTGCTGGCCACCCATCATCCTAAGCCTACTGCATACTGCATCTTTTTCACTGCCTGGCAGTGGACACCCTACACAGGGTAAATCCTTTTGTTGGTAATGGAGGAGGCCTGTGAGAATGTGTCTTTGGAAGTCAACCGAGGGTGGATAAGGCACACCAGAGCACGCTCCCACACTGCCCAGCAAGGGTCAGAATCTTATGTGATGTGGCTAAAATTCTGTGGCCTGACAGACCAAAGGAGGGGATGTAGAAAAATGCAGAATACATGACTTCTATTTATTTATAGCAGTGTGAATTCAGGGTATTTGTTTACCTGGTCTATCTGCATGTGTTTTAAATCATACTATACCTACTCTAAATCACACTTTACTGTTTACTCTGTGTGACACTGCAGGTGGTCTGTACAGTAATCTGTATGCCTCTTTACAGTGTGTTCGGCGTGGTCAGTGCAACAGTGTTGATAATAATGTTGAAATAAAGTTGGCCCTAAAAAAAAACAACAATTAAAAAAAACTAATTTGGTAGATATGTTTTAAAATAACCCCTCTAGTGTGTAAGAGAGGTGTGTATTTAATTATTTAATATGTGTCACTGCTTTTGAGTATTGTCTGATAGCAAAGTTTGATTTTAACCTGAAAATTGCATGACTGTACAAATGTGTGTTGTTTCTAAAAATAAAATAAAAAAAAAGTTAAACAAAAAACTGACTGTTGGTCCCTTTAATAAAATAGGTAATCATAGATTAAAGTGGGCTACTCACAACAAAACAGGTGATTTAGCCTGTTACATGTTGTTCCCAGTATTGTGTTAGCCTACTCAAAACAACCGGACACCAACCTCTATTTAAGAACTGTAATTTAATTCGTATCTCCATGTGTTCATGAAGCCCAGTGGGAGTGACTAGGACCTCCTGCCATACAATGCTGCAGCCTGGGGATTCTGGACGGTGTTTGTAAAGCAAAGGCAGCACTAAACATGCAGGTTTTTCAATGGAGCTCCCAACCTGAGAAAAGAGTGGTATATTTATTAGTAAACCTACTTTCCCCTTGTACGTGGGCAGGTTGCACAAGATGTCAGATCGCAGAGCTTCGTCGCTCATCGTCCGAGTGCAGAGGCTGCGCCACACCTCGCTGTTCTCATCCGCCAGGATATTATTCCAGTGCCAGCAGACTAGCGCGCACCGCATCAAGTCGGACAGCTCTAGATATGAAAAAACATGCTCAAGGAGCGGGCAGCCGTGCGGGCAACCCTGCGCCTCCTCCGGCGGCAGCAGCATAAGGAAAGCCGGCGGAGCTGCGACTGCCTGCCAATGTTGCGCCCAGACAGGAGGAGCCTCCTCCTCCACCGGCCGCTCCTGACATTTCCCTGGCCTTCACCGACGGCAAGAGCTTAACAAATGACTTACACCAAGAAATGTTTCCTAACAACTCCAGTCAAACAGCTCCGATTTACACATAAAATCACACAGGAAACACTGTAAAACCGCGACATAGCGTGGGTGTTCTTTACGGACCCCGTTCTTCCCACTTCGGTGGCTGGATGGAAACGCTGCGTCAAGGTCCTGGAAGAGCAAATGAACGTAATCTATTGTTGTCAAAGAAACACGGACGTTAACTTGTAAAAATATTGGCTGCTTTAGATGACAAAGCACAGTGAGATAAGTCCAGCTCTAAGGGGTTGTCAAATAAAGATGCATCCCTGCTCAAGTCAAATATATTTTATTGCCTGCAAGGACCGCAGAGCAGACATGATAACGAGCCATTCGCTACAGCGACAGTCTGGGCCCCACAGTTGGTCGGTGGTTCACCTGTACACGTAGGAGCCGCACTGGGCTCAGTCCATCACACTGCTGGTCACTTTGTTTCATATGTGTAGATAACATGGGGGTTAGCCCCAGACCATTACTCCCATATATACTGCATACACCCGAGTCACAGACATAACTTACTGAACGTCTCAGCCCAGGGCCGTGCACAGACCTTTTGAGGGGCATGTGCTGAAATTGAAAAAAGGGCACACCCCCCCTCGTATTTGAAGATGTTTATGACCTCACTTTGATGCACTGGGATGTCCCTCTCAATGGTTATAAGGAGAAGGTCGGAGAGTCTCTCCTCTGAGCAGAGACTTCGTAGTTGGTTCTTAATTAACCTAATTTTTGAAAAGGATCTCTCCACAGTTGCAGTTGATACAGGTAGGGTGGCATATATTCTAAGCATTTCCACTAGTGTAGGGAAAACGTGCTTGCCACTGGGTTCT